ATTTATATGAGAGAAAAGTCATATCTATATCCCATCTATGAATGACATTTTATTATTCTATTTTCCCCCATATGTCATGGGTGAGAGATCTGCTTTTCATGTTTTACCAGTATGTGGAAATTGCTAAACAGTTTATAATATGGCCAAATTAGATATCTGATTGTAAATCTCTGCCTAGTTTTACCGACAAAAATCACAATAAAATTTCATTACACAACAATTGAGAAAACATTCTGTTTTGTTGAACATCCAACATTTAGCAACTCAAACAAACAATTAACCAAAGTTTGAGTTACGGGAAACAATATATATATATATATATATTCACATTAAATTTACTAAATGTTCAACAAAAACAAAATATATGTGGCATGACTCAAGAACAAAAAAAGTAACTTACTTCAAATTCTAACATAGTTTTCTTCATTTCATCAATATCAAAAATCATTTTGATCAACTCTTGTATTGACTTATGTAGTTTGGAATTACTACCAACTTCCATATTCATCTTTTTTAACTCCTCTTCTTCCTGTATTAAAATAAACAAAACATTGCTTTCAAAATTTGTACTAAAATTATATTATTTGTTTTTAAATTGGTAGCTGAACAGTTGATTTGTTGCTCCATGGTGTACTAGATTCATTCTCAATTATGTTTGGCTGCGATGCGCTCGCATCCAGCTGCGATGCGCTCGCATCCAGCTGCGATGCGCTCGCATCCAGCTGCGATGCGCTCGCATCCAGCTGCGATGCGCTCGCATCCAACTGCGATGCGCTCGCATCCAACTGCGATGCGCTCGCATCCAACTGCGATGCGCTCGCATCCAACTGCGATGCGCTCGCATCCAACTGCGATGCGCTCGCATCCAACTGCGATGCGCTCGCATCCAACTGCGATGCGCTCGCATCCAACTGCGATGCGCTCGCATCCAACTGCGATGCGCTCGCATCCAACTGCGATGCGCTCGCATCCAACTGCGATGCGCTCGCATCCAACTGCGATGCGCTCGCATCCAACTGCGATGCGCTCGCATCCAACTGCGATGCGCTCGCATCCAACTGCGATGCGCTCGCATCCAACTGCGATGCGCTCGCATCCAACTGCGATGCGCTCGCATCCAACTGCGATGCGCTCGCATCCAACTGCGATGCGCTCACATCCAACTGCGATGCGCTCACATTCAACTGCGATGCGCTCACATTCAACTGTGTTGCGCTCACATTCAACTGTGATGCACTCATATTGAACTGTGATGTGTTTGCAACAAGCAGTGATGTGTTTACAAGATCAGCATATGCCACAGGTGGAACCAATCAAGAGCAATCATAGATCAAATAGAGCGTCACACAATGTATATACCTGTCCATAGTCCATCTCCAATGGGTAGAATTTATTTGGATATTTCTGGAAATCTTTGGTGCCAAAATCATTACCAGTCTTCTCACCATAGAGACTACAGAAATGATCCATTGCATTGAGCAGAGAGTGAAATTTCTCAACTTTGTTTCCTCCAATGGTGGTGCCAACTCGTCCCCATGCTCTGAATACATACCATCTACAACCAAGGTTAAAATCATTATTCAGGAAGAAATCTTTTAGTAGTAATAACAGTTGATTTTTAATTCATTTTTTTTAAAAACATTACAGATGAGATTAGAGTTGTGTCAATCTAAAATGTGTACACGTTTTGACAATAAATATTTTTGTTTTTATCAGCAAATAAGTGGAGACTCGTACATGGACTGCAACACCATTTTCCAATTTTACACCTTTTTTATTACTAGTGAATTATGCAAGACATTGAAAATGGCCAGCTACTATTTTTTTGCTGTTGAGAGTATTGTTATTCACATTTTGTTACATCCAAACAGTCAAAGTAATGAGATAAAATAAAACACAAGCAGCCTGTCGGCTGAGATAGCTTCACTGTTAGCAATGCACATTGCAATTAAAGATCAGAAGATATCATTAGAAAATGAACAATATGTAGACTAGCTGTTTTTAACAAGAATTCAAAAATATCGCTTTTCACCAAAAATGACAAAAATTATCATCAAAATTAGATAATTGAAAATATTACCACGAAATTAGCAAATCTGAGAGAGGTTCACATGTAGTACCTATATATGTAATATCAAAGCAATTGGACTTGCGGTTTTCAACAAGAAGTCGAAAATATCACACTGGGACTTGCGGTTTTTAACTAAAAGTCGAAAATATCACTTTTTACCAAAAATTACAAAAATATTCACCAAAATTAGAGAATTGAAGATATGATCATGAAATGAACAAATCTGAGAGAGGTCTACCCAAGGTACATATACACCAAGTATCAAAGCATTCGTGCTTGTAGTTTTCAAGAAGAAGTCGAAAGAGTAAAACATTGACACGGACGACGGACAATCACTCATATGATGAGCTCCGCTCGACTAAAGTTGACAGCGGAGCTAATAAAAAATTTTAATAGTGGAAGACATAAATGAATAAATAATTCAAAACATACTTTTTAGTATTATCATGTTCAAGCAGTTGCAATTTGTAGTAAGAATTGGTTCCCTTGGTAACATCAACGAGACCCAGGATGGCGTTATACACAGAACCTTTTGCTGAGTAAACATGTGCTTCATCCTCTAAACCTAAAACCAAAATATTATAAAATATAAATAGTTTATTAAAAGCAGTTTCATATTTGCACAACATTTGAAAACTAATATAAAAGTGAAGCAAACAACACTTGAATGAAATGGAAAAACAATAATTTAATATAGAGATTAATTTAATATAGATTAATTAAAAATGTTTGAAAAACAAGCAGCCTCTCAGCTGAGATAGCTTCGCTGTTAGCAATGCACTTTTGAACCACACATCATAATACTGTAGTATACTTTATTTTCGCTTGTAATTTTCGCTATTTTTGCTGAAGGGATGATTCTGTGAAAATAAAATCTAGCGAATATACTTTTTTTCCTATATTTCACATTAAACTCATCAAAAATCATTGAAAATAAATTCCAAGCATAACGCCCAAAAAGCCTTTTCAGCGAAAATTAATTCCAGCAAAAATAAAGTATTCCACAGTACTTGAATTTATTATGCATGTGAACAATTTTCCATTTTGCTTTAGAGTGGATATTAGGGTTGCATGATATTGTAATTTAAGTATGGTAGTTGTTATGACAAATAAAATATAAATCACATTGAAGGGCGGTAGTCGTCGGGCTGAGCATGAACGACATTTGTGTTGATAAACATTGATTTTCCCACAATCCAATGCGCTCTTCAAATGGAAATCTCAAGTATGAGGTTTGGCCTGGCCTGGACGTGATTTGCACTAATTAAGGCAACTCCTTTGATACATTCAATTGCCTGAAAAAATATCTAATTAAAGCTTGGTAACGTCTCAGTTTGTACTCGTTGATCTGCGCAACAGTCAAAGTCGCCATCTTTGTTTATACGAGACCAATATATCTTGCACATGCGCGGTGGGATGACTACCGTCCTTTAACCAAATTAGATATCAGCTAGCATTGGCTAATGGTTTGTGCCAACAAAGCAATTTCAATCCAATTAGTATGCAAATCACCTAATTAATATGCACAAACTGATATCAGTTATTCATCTGCACAAACAGCAAGCATTTACCAAGTTCAATGAATTTGAGCAGACTGCTGCAAAGACAGACCAACACTTTAATAACCAGTATTATGCAAATCAGCTAATTAAAATACTCAAATTAATGATCAATCGTGCAACTACACAATCTGTTTTTTTCTTAATTCCTTTAAGCAAACAAAACATTATAAAGGTAGTAAATTATTATATGGATGTGTACCAAAATCTAATCATGTCTGGTATTCATAATAGAGTATAAGCTCTATACAAAGTTTCATTTTAATAGAGGCAGTAGCCTGACTAGTCACAGAGAAGAGTACCTTCTGTTTGTGACATGGGAGCCAATTATGCATATAAAATTACAACCAACCATAAACAGTGGGTTAATTTCTAGTTTAATTGTACAAATTGAGTCAATAGGGACTGCACATTTAATGGTACCCGATTATGAGAGTTGACAGATTTGTAATTATACCAAGTTAGACAACTATTTTTTATGATTTTGGTGGACCAACTGCATGCACATCTTCATTATAAGACTTGCAAACTGCGTTATCAAAAAATTAACAATTAAAATTATAAACAGCAGCAAGGATAGATTAACAACACCCACACTGAATTTTGAATTACATGCCACTGTATATAAAGAGAGTCTATTATTACATTCAGATAAAATAAATGCTAAAGCAATTTAGCAACAAAACCACAAAATCGAGCAACCGCTTCCATCAACATATAACCTACTCATGTATGATAAGTCACATCAGTGCATTCTACATAATTAATGCTGCATTACATTTTTACAATACTTGGGAAAACGGTAAACCACCTGACAACAAGTGTTAGTGATTGACACATGTAGTGGTACGTGATATATACCAGGATAGGACAATGTCATGCAAATACAACATGACAGGCACCAACACAGCCTGGGGGAATAAGCTGAAAACTCAGGAACTGATAAAAGCAGTCACCATGTGATGAATCACAATACAGCAGTATAGAAGACAGAAAGACGAGTTGAGTACATCTAACCTGGAACATTGTTACACTGAGTCAATGTCAAACCAGACGCAGTTGATTTTTAAACCATGATATTATGAAATGACATTTCCTTCCACTCAAATCTGGTGAGTAATGCAACATCTTTAAATTCAAATGAAAAAATGCCAGGATGGTTGGTTGTTTCAATCATTGACTGGCATTTCTATAAAATCTGAGGATGTCAAATATGTAAATTAGGCTCATATTTTATTAATTAATGTTGCAGGCATAAAGATTATTATGAAACGTGTATTATGATGAGCAAATTATCTCAGCTGTGTAAATTTTTTAAATAAGTCAGTTGTTCAAGTCGTGACTCAATAAAGTCTGTTGTTTCATTTGAGTGCAAGCGTTAAATCTGTACATCTCGAGATACGTGCATACAATCTCTTAAATTGTATTATGCATTAACACAACTAGAGCAAATCTTTTCGTTATGCAACAGATTTGAACACAATCCATCAACAAATACTAGGAATATGGTTTTACAAAGGCTTGATATTGTTGCATTATTTATTCTGTTGCATGTATTATTTCAAAATAAAAGGATCAAATGTCAATATTGACAGTACTCATACAATTTTGGTCAAAATATTATCTAATGACCCCAATTTTCTGTTTATTGAATGCCGATGACATGAATCCATAATAATGCAGAATATGACATTTTCAGTTTGATTCTGTTCAAAGTACCTTAAAATGTCAGTTGTCATAACAACGAGTTAGTTGTATGTGAATGTATGCAACACATTTCATTCTGTGTGCCAAATAATTTTAGGTATGTGTATACCAAAATAAAAAATGAGCAAAAATCAAAGAAAGCTTAGAAAGAACTCCTGTGTGCTGAGAGTATTAGAAACACAGTAAAAATTAATTCAAAATTACTTATATATTGATGGAAAAGCTGCAAACTAAAACAAAAAAACACTCACAGTTTAAAATAACTAGAAATGATTAATTTAAAACAATCAAGAGTACAAGGGATTTTCCTTAGTCATGCCGATATGAGGTTTAACACATTTTACAGTTTTTTAAAACTTTACTCCCAAAAGTCCCATAATCTTATACATTTTGAGGTAACAGATCACTTGGATATAAATATTTTATTAAATTTAATATTAACATTTTATTAAATTTAATATTAACATTTTCTAAATTTAATACACAAATTTATCTAGAAAATACAGGAATGATACAATTATTCTTTCTAGTTTGTGATCAGATGTGAAGGAATTAACCGAACGTTTCAGAAAAGTTATCAACACCCAACGGCAAATTCTGTTAATAATTACGCCATTGACATTCAATCAATACTTTTGGATTGACAGTATTAATGACATTCTCAGGTCTTAGCCAGTGTAAGAACAATGCTATAAATAAAAGCCATGTACACTGATCATTATCATGTCACATTGAAGAAATCAAACCGTGTTATTACCTACCAGGTATACAAGAACATACATGAATTCATGTAAACAAGTCATTTGTATCAGTTGCAATATATTGATAGAATACAGTACAGTATTACATTACTGTAAAAAACTTTTTTTTTTGCTGACCCTAATAATTTTATACGACTTCTGATGGTATGTAAATAATATTGTAATAAAATGTGCATATTTTTTCGTCAGTGTTGTGGAGATCAATGAAGATGCAACTCATTTCCTAATTTTCATTGCACAAGAAAAAGACACACTTTTTTGCTTGACATTAATTTTCGCTATTTTCACTGAAGGAATGATTCAGTGAAAATAAAATCCAGCGAATGTACTTTTCCCCCCCTATATTTTTCATTCAACTCGTCAAAAATCAGTCAAAATAAATTTCATACGAAACACCAAAAAAGTCTTTTCAGCAAAAATGAATTCCAGTTAAAAAAAAATATCTAAAAAAAATCATTAGGCTATTTCAACCATTTCCCAGCAACTTTGCGAATTATTCAATTGGCTCTCCCAGCCACTTTGCGAATTATTCAATTGGCTCTCCCAGCCACTTTTAGAAATTCATCCTTACTTATTAAACCTCTGCATAACCTATTCCATCGACTTCGTTTATTAGAAACTGGGTGTTTTACAGAAGGCAGATTAGATGTAATTCACCATATGTCACATACAACAATATTATACTTGGTGAATTAAAAGATATGATGCTGGTGGAAACCAAAAATAAACATTACTAACATGTTCAACTCACTTTTTCTAGGGGAATTGCGGCGACAACAGGTCGGTTGTGTAAGATATTGATGAATGTCTGGTACAGGGTATATAGCACATATTCTAAATGGTCTTATATTTTATCAACAACCATTCTCATCACAAAATGATGGTGATTGACTGACAATCAGGGGCAGAGAGAAATGACTGTGCAATGTTATTCAATCAAATCAGTTTCAGGGGCAAAAGAGAACTACAAATGCAATGTTATTCAACCAAATCAGTTTCAGGGGCAAGAGAGAACTGCTGATGCAATGTTTGTTAATGTTACGAAATGTGATCCACCATGTCATGCAATTTACAATAACAGCATTATTGCCAGCACATGATGTATGCGGCTTAGATATGTTTTATGTCGATTAATACTGAAAATCTTATTTTTACAGCAACTAAAATGGTCTTGAGCAACTTTTCACTAGATGGCTTTGGAAATGACATAACATTTGCTAACCACTTTCGTCGTCCTAGTGACGTAAGCCAGTATATCGAAGTGTCGCTACTCTGCTCCATCATGGCAACAGGAGTTCTGGGAAATGTACTTGTGGTGGTTGTGTGCATCAGACGTGGTTATGAGCACTTCTCAACAGCCAACTTCTTTCTGTGCAGTTTAGCGGTGTCAGATCTCATCACGTGTCTAGTGCTCCTGCCCCTTCATATCAACTTAGAAACATCATATAAAACACATTCTATTTCTAACACCAGCTGTCGAATTTCAATGTACTTTTGGAATCAATGCATGTACTGCACCTCATGGTTACTGGCTGGAATCTCAATTGATAGGTACTACGCGATTCGTTACCCGCTTCAACCAATTCTTACAGCATATAAGGCAAAATGCATCATTGTCTCCATATGGATATTGACCTTCATTGCTGCCTCGCCAGCGTTATTTGTTTACAAAGGCCCATACTGCCACCCAATTGACATCGGAGCACTCAACTTGGAGTTAGCAATGGCGGTCATGCCAGCACTATTTGTTTTTTTAATCCCAATGATCATCATCACTACAGCATACTATTTAATATTTTACTCCTTGTGGAAAAACCGACGCGGAATAATTTACAGTTCACAGAGAATGCAGATGGCACAGTCAACACATTACACTGTAGCGAAACGATTATTATTGGTGGTTCTCGTGTTTGTGATATGCTGGATGCCAGGAATGGTTTTACGACTATACTACACTATAAACAAAGTAGACTTCACAATGAGATCAACATATGCACTTTTGGCCTACATCTCCGAATACATCCTCCCATACCTCAATTCGGTTTTGAACCCGATAGTGTACTCGCTAATTAACAAAACATTTCGCGAAGACTGCAAGAGGTTATTGTGTTTCCATCATCATCAACAGCACAGAAGACAGATATCCCAAGAATTGGCTGTTGTCATACGCTGTAAGGATGTGGTGCCGAGATGCGATCAGAGTCGTCACAATTTAAACAAAGAAACATGTGTATGATGACCATCAGCGATAATATATAAAAAAAATTCTCTAACTATTCAAACTGTGTAAATCCTTCTTCAAACATTTTGCATTGTGCATTTTCAGGTTCATTTCATAAGGGGACTACATTTCAGAATTGAAATGTAATGGTCATCAATGTAGATGGCCGAGGGGTCAGAGTAAAGTAAGATTGCACAAGGGGGCAGTGTTGATTCACATAAATACAAAATATGTATTGTAAGCTTTGTCATCTGCTCATGAATTATTCAATTCATACCCCTTGACATATTCCCTGTTTTTCACAGAGAACCTTCATCGGAAATTGCAACAGCTAAATCGTCAAAAACTCTATACAATTTGGATGTTGTTAGAACACCTTGCTTTTTCATTAGTTGAGAAATAACTTTGTCTTTGCTGTAACTCAACATTGTCGCACCTTGACTTTATAGTCTTAGCAAGTTACCGGTAATATACAATAGTGGATTTCAAAATACTTTACAGTTATGTAGTTAAGACAATGCTGATTATGTTCAGTTATCTGTAGCAATTACACTCTGATTAAAAGTGCGGCTGGTTTACAATAAGCCGCAAAGGGCAAGTGTGCAGCAAGAAGAATTGGTCACATGACCAAACATGGAACAAGAATGAAAGCACATGCATCCTGAATACGGGCTGATATTTTTAGCTGTACAAAAGTAAAGCTCGACATACGAGTGTAGCACAAGGGTGACGTTGACACTTACCAGAATCTGGATCAACAGCCGCTCCACCTTTCACAGTCATTTTCAGTTTATCTGGTACCTTTTTTGTGTACATTTTCTCTGAGGATTTCAAAATGAAATGATTAGTAGGGTTCATTTAGAGGGACAATTTTTGTGAAAGCTAGTGCGATTTCATGTCTTAGTGATTGCAGTGGTCACTGGTACAAAATTTTGCAATTTTTCTCATATATTAGTATAATTATTAAGCCTAATCCTATCAGAAGTTGAAAATATCACTTTTTACCAAAAATTACAAAAATATTCATCAAACTTAGAGAATTGAAGATATGCCGAAATTAACAAATCTGACAGAGGACTACCCCAAGAATCTATGTTGCAAATATGAAAGCATTTGGTTTAACGGTTTTAAAGAAGACAAAAATGTAAAAAGTTGATGACAGACTACATACTACAGACACCGGACGACGACAGAGCATCAGTAATATGAAGAGCTCGGCGTTGTCGACTTTGTCAACAGCAGAGCTAATAAAAAGATAAAATTAACAACATGAAGAAAGACTTGTCAGTCCCGGTATCTGTCTGTACAGGAATCACTTAATCACGGTACAGTTATCGAAGGACTATTTAATGTACAACAAGCTGACTTAACATCTCCCTATTATAACAGAGGGTGCTATAATCATCACAGCCTGTCGAGTTGTGTATGCCCCGCATCTGACAGTGCACCTTCCTATCGATGACACAGCCAAAGTAAGGCAGTATCAATATAGGGAGAATACAGTTTTGTGTATCAACACAGATATATAGCATAGCAAGGCCAGAATGTGTTGCTTCTCTCCCATTTAAATCAAAATGTGAAGTCTACAGTGGTTAAAAACAAAATCAAATCAAAGACTTGACAGCAGAGTGTTCTCTCACCTTCTCTTGCACTAACACCACTCTTCAAAGCTCCACTCTTAATGGCAGAGTCCACTGCTGTTGAACCAACTGATATCCTCGTAACTGGCTGTGTAGTGAAAAGACTTTTAAAAGTTACAAATCAAAACCAAATAGTATTTTGAAATCAAGATTCATTGACTACAAAAATGAACATCACATATATGCCATTAATTGTCAAAAACGAAATACACTTCTTAGGTATTGTACCCATGCAGCTTAGTGCCCAAAGTACTAGGCTCACAAAATCATAATTTTTAGGAGGGTGTTGCTTAGTGAGCATCCCACTCGAAAAATTGGCCAAAAGACAATTTTCGTTCACCATGTGCCAGATTAGGGGGAAAAGTGCGTCTTTTTCTTGTGCAATGAAAATTAGGAAATGAGTTGCATCTTCATTGATCTCCACAACACTGACGAAAAAATATGCACATTTTATTACAATATTATTTACATACCATCAGAAGTTGTGGTATGAAATTATTAGGGTCAGCAAAAAAAAAAGTTAAAGTCGATAGTTTCATCGTTATCTTCGTTGAATGTTTTCAATTGATGTCAAGCAATTTCCGCCTTCATGTTTCCTTACACAATTTGAACAGTAACATTGTCCTTTGACCCAATAGTCGAGTTAATTATCCAGTAGTTTGTATACTTACATCAGTCCCCCAATTAGCAATACTAGATTGCTGAATCATCAAGGCAGCTCCTCCTTTTTTAACAGTGTTTAAGAAATCTTCTGATACCACATGGACACCAGCTGCTTTGGCTTCTTTGATTTTCTTACTCATATTGTTAACTTCATCTGTGGAGGTTAGGGAATAGACATGCTTAGGTTTTAAAGTCATCAATATAATCTATTTCTATAGATCAATCATTTTAACACAAATGTCAACTGTCACCACTTTTCACAAAACGAGTCATTAGTCAGACATGGTCCCTGTTTGTATTTGGCTGAATTAATATTTGAGAATACAAAATTATTGATTCGTTTTTGTATCAACAAAATCTGGTAAAATGATCAAGGAGTAGAATAAAATCCAAACGAGCCAGTTGGCAATATTGAACCAAATCACTGCAAATACTCATTAGTCATACCTAGTTTAAAATATATTTACACAAGGCTTGTCCTTCATACTAAACGAGCAGCACATTTGTTTTCCTTTGACTGCTATCATATTGCTGCCAATATTTGAAGATTTGATGTTTTGAAGTGTAGACCCCCCCTCCCCAAAGGTTATGAAACACTGTTTTTAAGAACCACTTCCTGTAATATTCACTAAGAACACTATACAAACTCGAGTATGAAAATAATGTCCCCTACCTTGAGTACTTATGACACACGCAACATTTTTGTTGATCTTTGTCACTACTTCTCCACCAAGCTGCTTAATCTTTTTCGTAATATCTTTATTACTTTCACTGAGTTTACCGACAAGTACTATTTTGCAGTCTTGTAGAGCACTACGGGAACTGCTCCTAATCAATTCAAATATTAGTTGGTAAAATTATAGAAAGAATAAATTTCTATCACAAAGGCAGTTGAATGAAATTTATGTTACTGTTATACAATAGTTTTTATTTTTTACTATAATCACATAAATGGACCGTTTAGTCATAAGTCATATTCATTTGAACTCTGAGCAAAACAATGCACTTGCATGACCACATGGCAATGCTTTTGTGACAATTACAAAATTTACACCAGCCTGAAGGACTTATATTTTGTAAAAAAAAAAATGTAGCTTATTATAACGAGAAGAACAAATCTGTCAGGTGTCTACAGATAAAATATCAAAGCAATCCAGCTAGCCATTCTGCTGTCAAAAATATTCATCAAAATCAGAGATTTGAGGATATCTTCATGAAATGATCAAATCTGGGAATGGCATACAATGTATATATGTACTATGGGTGGACCAAATATCAAAGCACAGTATTATAAATGTCTTTACAACACAGACTGAAATAAACATACGTGGAAGCCGAGGCCGCTGCACTTGGAGGTGACGAAATTTCTGGCTTATCTTCAAATACTCGCACACCTTTGTTGAATGCCTTGAACTTGAATTTCTTCCTGAAAATAAATAAGAAGGTTTATTTCACAAAGTCGGCATAAATATTCAGAATGAATTACAGCAGACCTTATTTTAATACATTAGGAAATATACCACTTCTACTCTCATAGGTTTCATTGTATTTAATGTTGACGTAGACAACAAAAATAAACACTCACAGATAGTCAATGTCGTTGAGACTTTCTGGAATCTTCCACTTTTTTCGTTTGGGTTCTTTAGTTTTGTATTGACATTTAGTCCAGCTGGTTATGTTGCCAGTACAACGATATCCAGAGCTTCCAACAACTAATTGTCCCTCTTTGCATTCTGGACATGGCAACAAGGCTCCAAATGCCATTCCATCAGTCGCATACTCTAAAAGCTGATGGGACAAACATGTTACAATCTGGAAATCATGGCTGCAAAAATAAAACAACCAACTAATAAGACCCTACTGTAAAATCTGTATTAAAAACCCCGGCTTCTATTAAAATGGTACATTGCAACAGAGGGGATGCAGCTTTTATTAGAGCATCTACATAGGAGAAATGGTAAATTTTTTGATCTCAATTGTTCCAAAAAATGGGTGCGGCTTTAATACAGATTTTACGGTACATGAGATACAATAAAGAAGCACTGATATTGATGGGTAATCAGTACACATGAATTTATATACAATAATTTCTAACAGTAACTTCTGAGAACTTCTTACACTAGTCACTATCTGGATACTGAACTTTTAAAAACTGGTCCTCAAGATGCACAGTGGAACATTCAGTGACAGACAAAAGGATTTCTTAAATAAATTCACCTTGCTTTCACCGCTTGGAATATTTTGATTATTTTCCTCCAATAGCTCCTTCAAGTCACTGTTTGGCACATGTTTATAAAGCTGATCTCTAATACCCCAAATGAACTGACTCTGAACCTAAAATAAATCAAAAGAACTTGTAAAATTAGTTTTCAATCAACAATGCACAAAAAAATGACATCCAACATCATTCATCTTATCACCATGGTGATAGCTGGTACACAACATAACATACCTAACAAACTAATAATTACTGGAAAAACAATTCTTTCTTACCCTCAGAGCTTCCTCTTCTTTGGTTTCTTTTTTGGTTTTAGGTTTTTTAGTCTTCGCAGTGCCATCAGTTTCAGTTGTCTTTCGTTTACTGCAAATTAAATTATAACAAAATTGAGTACTGTAGAATAGCTTATTTACACTTGGAATTAATTTTCGCTATTTTTGCTGAAGGAATGATTCAGTGATACTAAAATCCAGCAAAATTACCCTTTTTTCCTATATTTTACATTCAACTTGTCAAAAATCAGTGAAAATAAATTCCATACAAAGCACCAAAAATGTATTTTCAGTGAAAATTAATTCCAGCTAAAATATATTTTAGAGCATCTCGAAATGCATGACATACTTCGAGATTACTTTCCAGCTTCTCAACATGCAAATGAATTGATCATTATGCGCAGTTTTTGAGTTTTCACAACAGATTGGTCCTCAAAATTATCAATGTAATTCGATCAGCAGCTTGATGTGACATTAACGCAAGAAGCTGAAAATTATACACAATATAAAAGTTTCAAATTATACAGAAGTGCGATGAAAGAGTAGGTTCACATAAAAAAAGGCCCAAGGTACAATGTGATTTTTAGTTGACTGCCATGAGCTGAACTTTTTACAGTGATGATCTGAAAGCTATGTTAATGGAAAGTATTCTGTAATTTAAAGTCACATGATCAACTGTAAAGTTTTCTGTAGTATTTTTTATGCTAAACAAAAGCAACAAGCAACAAAAAAAAAGCAATGCTGCAAACCATACATTTAAATCAGAATTGCTTCATTATCAGAGTTTAATATTTGGTGTAGATAGCCCTGAATCACAAAGTTTGCAAAATAAGGTAAAAAGGTCATCAATGGGTCATCAAATATTTAATAAATAATATTTTATTTTCTGTTTTGGTTTACTCAAATAAATTTTATAAGAATAAAATTAGAAATAATTTAAGCAGTTTTATTAAAATTTAATTAAATCTGCCCATGTCACTATCAAATGTAATCAAAATTTGTCTGTATGCACTAGAATATAAGATATATTTACACATTCTTTTTATCGGTTTTCAGTTTCGCAAGCAACTCTTTCTTGTCTTCGTCTTTTAGTACTTTAAATCCAGGAATATCCTCCGGTGAACAGCCTTCTGTCCATCCTAGTTCATCCAGCTTCTCACAGAAGCAGTCAAGATGGTGCCACTTTTCAACTGCCATGTGAATACCACGTTGGGTTTCCATCAGAATTCGAGCAATGCGGAATGTGTCCTGTCGGTAGAAACAAAATGTGTCAGTAGCTGCTTTCATGAAGACTTGCGAGAATTGGCACTATGTGAAAAGTCTAAATGACCATTTTATAACAATTTAATGTCAGCAGGTCTCGTCAAACCTCAGAACCTCTTTTAGTTGTTTAACCTTTTCACCACCAGTTCCATCACAAATTCACAAAATCAGGGTTCATTTCCAGAAATATAGAAGAATACAAGAAAAAAAATAGTGCAGCAAAATTTAGGCAAGAAAGTCTGATGGTGGAAAGGTAAGGTTAAACACAATTCCTGATTCCCGAAAAACCACCAGACGCGATTTTTACCATAAAAAGGGGCGTTTTTCTATTTGCGCATACATACCCTACCCGAGTAACGGGTAAAGGTAGGACAAAAATATAAAAAGTCAAAAGAACACCGGCAGACATGCAACCCGGAATAAGTCAGTGGTATATTTGAAACAGTTTTTAAACACAGGAATGAGTGTGAGTGGAAACAAACGAGGGTAGCTAGAAGAATTATTTAAGACAGCTGGGAAACGTGGATTTCTAGTTGAAAAAGATGACTTTTCTGAGAAAATGGACTGAATTAGAGATAGTTTCCACAGATTAAATAAGACTTTGACATAGATTTTCAATTCTCAAAATGCCCTAAAAAAATATGAAAATATTATGCTATAGCCAAAGATAATTGCATGCTTGTTATTCTTGCTTAGGCAGAATAGTGTGCAAATTTTCAGTGGCTGGTACGAGTTAGTTGAAAAGACGATGGCAGTTTTATTTCACGGAAATTTTTACGTTGCGAGTTGAAAACATCAATGTTCGATGCACTGCGCAGTTTGTTGACCGAAGGTCACGCAATATGCACAAGCACACAAACGGTATCAATTCGGAAACCGAAAATTAGCACCTGCAATGTTAACCAATAACCATGGTTCCCATCCAACGCACATGCATGAGTTAAGAATCTTGCCCAGGGCCTCCAAATTCTGTCACACAATTCCTTTTGATGACCTTTTTTTTGCTGTTCCAGATAATGAACCACAGAAAAGATTTGAATTCAGAATTATGTACAGTGATAAAACATTTGACATACTGCTGTACTTTTATACTACATGTTTTGTACCATACTAAATTTGTCACAACTATTAGCCCGACTGATCATAATCCTACCCCAGGAGTTTCCAGCACTAACTGTTTAAATAGGGCATTAACTACATATGAATTCCTTGTGGTTACAAAATTATTTATTATGAACCAAATTCTGACATTCTGACAACAGAAGTAGGATAATAAATATAGCACCTTCAATCTTGTGTGCACAAGACAAAGTAATCAACATGCAACCATGCCACACCGAAAAGAGATTGGAAGAAAACATGTACTATGATCACGTTATGGGATCTTGGCACATGCCAAAATTTCTAATTCTTCAGAAGGATTACAGCAGTTGCGTTCGCGTTCGCGTTAGCATTAGCATTCATGTTCACGAGACTCACTTGGGATTTACTCAATCCATGCCGAAAACATGCTCTCATTAGTCGATCTGTTATTTGACCCAAACATCGCAGACAATATGCATAACAGTGTTCTCCCTAGGATGTAAACAGCGCAAGACCGCCACAGTGCTTTTTTCATCCGGTGCATTGTACATGTATTACGTAAATAAAGTATAAATATGTAGCTATTGTTTCAGTCTCTGCATCCGACCGCCACGATGATCAAACGGTCCTGGTAAATGGGTGTTAATCTATGCGTGGCTGACAGAAGCTGGAATACTTCCATGTCTGGCAGTGTCGGTAATTTACAGAAGTAGAAGTGCCCGAAAAAAAGTTTTTATGGGATGCTTTTAAAATACATAAAAATGCAATCACAGCTTCAGACTTTCAGCAACTTTCCTCAGCGAGTAACATCATCATGTCCAACCAAAGCACTGCTCTTGTATCTTCCTGGCTAGTACAAAAACCTGGTCGAGATCCACCACGTGATCATGTTTTCGCATCATTCGACAGCGTGATCGATAGTAAAATATTTTCCCAGAAAAGAAAGGCAACAGATAAACCAGCAAAAGAACAGAAAAGAAGAAAAACTGGGTTTAATCAGGCATGGGATAAGGAGTATCTGGGGTTAAAAGAAACGCCAGATTCGAAAGGTAAGCTGTACATGTGGTAATGTTTTCAAATTGTTAGTGTTCTATATATTTTGTTCATAGTGTACGCGATACGAAAGTAAAAAAATACATCGTCACACTGGTGTGGGTTACGACCATTGCGGCAATGCTAATTTCAGTGCTTAAAAATTCCTAGATTGCGTCGTCGCCGTGGTCGATCGTTATTGTCATCACGATTTTGTTTGAATTTATTTTTCTGTAAAATATTATATTGCAAAACTCATAAACTTTTTTTCTTTCCTTTATCAATTATTCTTGTTTTTGTTTCAGGAATGTTGTGTACACTATGTGGCAAGTTTAGCATGTCACACACCAATGGAAACGCAGTTTGGAGTAAAGTTCCATGTACGGCAATCAGAAAGAATGTCATCCTAAGACATTCCAGGTTGATTATGCATAAAACAGCAGCATGATGTCACAGAAAATATTCTCGTTGATGAAGGTTTTGTTGTGCAAGTAAACTTACAGCGACTTGCACTTGAAGGGGCCATGAAGTGCCTTTACTGGCTGACAAAAAAAGAGATCGCACACACCACCAAGTTTTCGTCATTATTAGACCTAGTGAAAGGAATGGGATGTAGCTTATAACATTTAAATCAGGTATATTTAATTAATTTCCACTTGGCTATAACGTTTCTGATATCATACATTTTTTTTTTCCATTTGAAATAGGACAATATTATATAACCAGTGTATACTTGTATTCCAGGGATAAAATGCTCACTATACTTTTGAGAGATCTATTCAGGAGCGGTTGATATCAATTTCTTCAGTGATCAGTGATAAAATACATACAGATATTCACTCCAGTCGTGTATTCAGTGTGATGATGGACGAGACAACTGATGTAGCCATTCTGAAGCAGCTCACGTGCGAAAAAGTCTTAGCCGCCTATGTCATGATCTAGGTCGCCAGTGATGCTCGCCAATACCTACCTACCGGCATCCTTGTCTTTGTATCATTTATTTTGGTCTAACCCCCACTTGATCTAACTACTAGAAGTCCCTTCAGTGGTAACTGCAGTTATGGTTGGTCAAAGAAATAGGGTAGGTTTTATTATTTATTTTTTATTGTCATGTTGAAGCCAGAGAAATCTCACCTAATTGCTCACTGCAGCACTGGTTTTTTGAATATAGTATCAGTCTCCTGTATTTTAATATGTTCAAAAATAACTTTAATTTGTGTACATGTTACAGGTTGCTACCAAACTGAGAGAAGAATGGTACATACATTCATTGCATTGCCCATAAGTTGGCTCTTGCTTCCAGTCAAACTATGAATGATATAAAATACTTGTAGAGGTTCAGTGCTACGTTACAGCAGCTAGACTATTTCTATCAAAACAGCTCTCTGAGAATGGCTGGTCTCCAGGAAATTCAGGTGAGAAATTATTTATACATGTATGAATGATAACTAAATACATTACAGCAGTTTTGTAACTTCAAGGCTTATCAACTTATTTAAATACTTCACCGTGTGATTGGTATCCTAATCTTTCCTACTTTCTTTCTTGGGGAACCAGACAGACTAAAAGAGGCTAAAGCAGTTCGTTGGCTGTCGCATCAACGTGCTGTGGATGTCATCAGGAAGACATTGCCAGCAATAATTACAAGTTTGGAGAGAGAGGGCAATGAAAGAGATGATGAAACAGCAGCTGGTTTGGCAACATTTGTGAAGAAATACAACTTCATAGCCAGCGTACATATGATGAGTGCTAATTCAGGTATGCCAAATTTAATTATAAATCAAAGTAAGCTTAGAAAGAACTCCTATGGGCTGAGAGAGTATTGAAAACATTAAAAATTAATTCAAAATTACTTGAACCTGAGATATTGATGGAAAAACTGAAAACTAATTATGTAAAAAAGGTAACTGATATGAACAGAACAGAAAAATTATGAATTATTATACTAATTAGAGAATTAATATGAACAAATTTTAATCCAAAATTAATCAGGCCTGTCTTTTGTCCTAGAGCATTTAAGTACCAAATTTTATTCAAATGTCATGATCAGTGTTAATTAATTATGTTAATTAGGTGATTAATAAGCATAAATATTTACCAAAAACTAATTGGGTCTCTGCATAGTTCTAGATTCATTGAAATGTGTTGAGTACTCTATAAAAGTTTCATTAAAATCCAATTCCTGGTTCTTTAGATATCAGTGGAACCAGTCATGGAACAGCTAAAAATCAGCTAATTATCATGCAAATTAGGTAATTAATATGAATGAATTTTTACCAAAACCTAATCAAATCTGCGCATTGGCCCAGAGCAACTATGCACAAAGTTTCATCAAAAACAAATGTATGGTTCTTGAGATATCAATGGAATAGACACACACACACAACTGAAGTTAATACCAGGACAATATATGCAGAATTTGGGTTCTTATATTTCCTCAAAGTTAGGGTAACTTTTCACCAGCAACGGCTTTTAACTTTTCTGTGATTTTTTTTGGTTTGACTGATTTTGTTGATACTCACCACTGCCATGATAGCAGCCCAAATTTGATTTTTGAATATTTTCGCCCCAAATTTATCACCTCCTACCAGTCTTGTAATAGCAGTGATCAAATGATCATGCTTGTTACTTTGGCTACGTTGCGCACACGCAAGAGATCACCGGCGCCTACATTGTTACACTGCATCAACGTAATCCTAACGCAACTTTGAATGAACTGTAAATGCTGCCTTCATTCTAGAAAATACTATCGCGAAACGGTTGAAAATAATAAATGTAATAGCAGAATACGTCCTAGTAATAAAGTAAAGTGACTTCTAAAAGACTGAATGGTTTTTTTTGCGAACTTCGTATACGGGCCCATTTAGTTATATGCCGACGTTAGTTTCATATCCTACCATGGAAACAGCTGAAACGTGTTGCTTGTTTTTTGAGCGGGGCAGATCGCCAACCAGCCTACCGGCTTGTTCAGTTACCACTTCATTTTTCTTCCTGATTCACACTGTCGAAGTCACTTCCTTGTCAAGTCATGCCCCCAGGCCATGCCCAACAAAATTTGTTCCTAATGTTTTTATCGATCTTTCGCACAGCTGACTCGTTGTCTTTTGTAACCAATTTCACCATTATCGCTGCATGAAACTTGTAAACAATGATCCAACGCAGCTAACAATTGAAACAATAAAATGGCACCGTTGGTGAAAAGAAAAATGAAAGTTCTTCACTGATTGGCCCGTCAGAGAAAACCCAGACAATCATGTTAATCGTTACATATCACTTCGAACACTTCGAATTTTACGATTGCACTGATGAAAAGAGTCGCAAACATTCCGCATTCGACCATACACTGAATACAGGCCTCTTGCAGCCGACAACAATGACCCGACAGCGTGTTTACTTCCGATGAATGAACAAGATTTAAAATTTTCTCTTCGGATTTAGAAGTTTCAAAAAATTTATCCCTGGGGCTTAGAAATCCGCGGATCAGCGGAAAATTCTCATCTCTGGAACATGATTTCAGTTCATGCCCAGAATTCAAACAGCAAATGTAGACATGCATCTAGTTTCGGCCTCGACTCTCAATTTGAACCAAGACTGTCGGCACGTGCCAAGATCTGTAACCAGAATGCCACTATACACAATGTTATTGAGAGACGTACATGTACCTGAAATATATGCAATGGCTAGACAAGTGTATAATAATCTTTAGGCGACACAATATCCATATTTTACCTTCATTATTTTCTCGTTACATCCTCTACATACACTTCTATTAGACTTTGCGTAGCCTAGGGAAAACTCATCACCTAAGGACCCTGTGTCATCTCCATCACCCTCACCCTTAGTGGCACCGCTATCCTTTCCTGCTATTTTATCTTTAATCTTTTGCTGATCATCCCACCTCAATGTTTCTAACCCACCTGCAAAAAACAATGTACTTTATTTACTATAATATTAAAAGAACAACTTCAATACACATAAAGCAAAAATTATGTCTTATTTCGACCATAGACTTGTCTGAAGTTTGACTGGCATGTGCTTCTAATAGAGCAAATGCAGCATTTGAAAATATAACGGCAAACAATGATCAGGGTGGCTCCAAGTAGCTATGGTTTAACAATTATAAATATCGAATAAAATAATGGATACATGTATATGATGACTTGATGTTTTAGTCATATATCTTGTCGAACAAAATTATAGCACCGGCTACATGTCCCTCTCTGCAACATTACTTAAGATATTACAGTTATGCATATTACAGAGGTCACATGACCATATATAGTCATCTGATACAGATCCCTTCATTATAGCACTGGTTGTCACTATCTGCAGCAGTGCTTAGTACATTACAGTTATGCATATTAAAGACACATGAAACTAATAACAGGTAATCAATATTATGCATGGATTTCAACCCTGAAGTAATCAGATCTGTGCACCTATGTACCAAGTTTCATTTAAATTTGATGAGTAGTACTCAAGTTATCTGTTGAGCACCTATAAATTGGTTAATTTATTCAAGTAGGTAATTAATAAGCACAAAAATTAATTCTGACTTGAACATGTATACTGCTTATCCCTAAGCATCTATGTACTAAGTGGTTGAGGAGGTATTTGTGGAAAAAAATAAATATTTTGCCAAAAACTAATTTATGTACAAAGTTTCATTGAAATATGGAAAATAGATTCTGAGAAACAAGTGAAAAGGCTTAAAATTGACTAATTTATATGCAAATTTGTCATTAATATGCAAAGGATTTCAACCAAAAACTAATCATGACTGCACATTATCCCAGAGCATTTATTTACAAAGTTTCATTTAAATCTGTTAAAGGGGAACCGATATTATAAATAAGGGTCAAGATGGCCACCGTATTAGTATGCTAATCCGAACCAAGCAGCAAACATTGTGGCGGGAGCTCCGTGAAATATGCCATTTACGATGTTTGGAGATCAAGCTCTGGTTCCAAATACATATCCACGGGGGCATGAATATGTACGCTAGCAATTACACTCGTCTGGTTGGGCTTTTGATGTATAAATGTTGCTATTTTCAGTCGAAACATGCCGCAACCAGTGAAAATCACGAGTTTAAAATGGTGGCTAATGTATGCAAAATTCCTGTCAATCACAGTTTGAGTAAACGAAAATGTAAATCCCCTAGATGTTTATTCAATCTACAAAGCTTGTTGGTTTACAAACAGCATTATCGTTACGTAGTTTGTCTATGTCTAACCACCTCCATGGTCTAACCGTCGGTAACACTGGGACATGACGATGTAAGACAGTAAACAATGTCAATAACATTAGGTTACGGGCTTTCGGATATTCATTGCAATAAATTAAATGTAGAAGTAGAAATCATTCGCGTGGTTTAAATTTCGCGGTGAGTCCAAAAAGCGTGAAAATAAAACCACGCAAAAATTTCCTGTTGGAATGTAAAACACAATACCCAAGTCAAAACAACACTCACTCCTGACCCACAATCTTACGAATTTTACCGTAGTCATTGACGCCTATTCAAGAGTACGATGTTTATTGTGGTTAGCGTGAATGGGTAAAGCTTCGATTCGACAATGAGCTGTTATCATCGTAAAAAAAAACTAACGTCTTCCCATCAAAACCAGAGGTAAAAGATCGAGCTGGAACATCGGCAAATCTCCTCCGTTTTTGTAATTTGAACACGTTGGCATCACTGAGTATTTTGACTGGCTGATTAGCGATTTGACCTACAAGGTGTCGAACATTTGCATGCGACCGGAATCGATGAAACTAAATTGAAATTTACTTGCATTTCAGAACAATTCAACGAGTTTACTTTTTGTACTGTATCAATAATCACGACCAAGTAATAATAATAAATTGTGAAACGTAGCATGGTCGGATTGCGCCACCGTGATTATTTGCTACTAAGCAATGCAGTGTTTTTTTTAGGAACGCCAGAACGATGTTGGTTACTACTATGTGGACATTTTTCTTTTGATCGTACGGCAAAGACTTGTGTTTTCTAAAGATTGAAACTTTTTGCATAACTTTCTAGACAGTCTGGAAAAAGGAAGGGGTACAGTGAATAAGTGTCAGACTGCAATGAGCTGCAAATGGTAGTTGTGTATACTGGTAGGCATGCAGGAAATAACCGTTCTGTTAGAGGTTCGAAGTTTAGGATATCAACAAGACATTGGCATGGTAAATACGCCATGCTTGAAATGCATGAACAACTAGGTCTTAGTAAGAAAATAAATCAGTTTTGTTTCTGTATTTGACTGTAGGACGAAACGGCACCCAGACAACACGTCATGGGCAGTTGCAATTCATATCTTTTACAATAGATCGTTTTCGTTCATGCGTCGCATATTTGGCCAGACAATTTAATCGAGTATATGTGTGTATTTATATTCTATTTTTGGATTCTTATTTATAATAAACACAACGCTGCAGATTGGTCGTTAAAATTGAGTCTACGGTAAAATTGTTTTGACAGAACGCTCTTCTCCCCCTCACCGCTCATTTAATTTTGACTGTAAGGTCAACCCGACGTTCACCCACGAGATCACAAGAACTCAAATCTCACACAAGATACAAGCTGGTAACACCCGTGTACATTTTGATTTTCCACACGAGTGTCGTAAACAGGTTACAAGATAAGCCTGTGATGTCGCGGCAACTTTTCTTTACTAATGATTTTAATATTTTATCACTTATAATATACAGTAAACTTTTTCATTGTCGCCTCTACCAATTAGTCAATATTATATGGAAATTTGAGGGCAATAGTAAATACACGTTCTGTTTACCGATTTATGGCGGAAATATGAAAACCGAAGTCACCGACTTCGTGTTTTCACACTTGTTATATTAGCAGTCTGGAGGAGTAGTATGTATACAGAATGTGTATAGGAAGTTTCGTTCTCAGGTTTACTGTATACGAGATCAGTACCGTCAATAGACCGACGCAACGGAAACAGGCAAATAAACTTGAGTCGGCGTATTTTCTTCGCGACCGTTTAGCAACACTCTGGCCGTGTGTATCTGGTAGACTGCTGCCTTTTCTTGTTGGCCATCATCAACTTGAATTAGTTCCACGTCATATTTTTCCGACAATGTATAAATTGCCGAGCGCACAATGTTTCAAATCATGGCACATGAAGACTGCTCTGTATTTGTTTGAAATTCAATTGCCATGTTATATTTAAACAAGCAAATTGTAATCCGTTCTTAGGGTGTTTATATCAGTTGTTTTGTGAGGTTAGCGGTACAGAGGGAAAGATAAGCATTCATTTACTCAGTGGACAGAGGCGGAGTTGATTACCCATGAGCACTTGGTGCAATCCAAGGGATTGAGCGGTTCCCCTTTAAATAAGTGAAAGGCTTAAAATTGGCTAACCAATAAACTAATTAGTCATGTAATTAAGATGTACAGGATTTCAAGCAAAATCTAATCAGGTCTGCACAATATTCCAGACTATCTATGTACAAAGTTTCATTGAAATATGATAATTGGTTCTTGAGATATCAGTGGTGGAGACACGTACACAGATGCACTAACCAGAAAGGCCTCCTACTGTGTGTTTCGCACAGGGGAGTCAAAAATAAAATCAAGTTTGCTGGTAGCTTTTTGACCAGCGACTGCCCATGACCTGACCCTGTAATGTTATACTTCTGGGAAAAGTATTGCAATGTCATGCATGTGGTGCCCCATAGCGTAATAATGAGCTTCTTATTACAGTATGTTTACAAGAGCATAGTAGAAATATTATCCCTGGCACTGGTTAGAGAAGAAAGCATAACGGTCAATCTATGCCAAAAGTAGTAACAGTGTACAGTTATAGATAATGTAATTGTACATACCAAATTCTCCATGAGATGTGGCTTTATTTCTTTTCCAAAAACAGCTGTAATGAAACCAGTTTGGCATCTTTCCATCAAAATGAGGAGACTGCAAGAAATATTATACAGATAAAGCATGTATAGCTTCCATAGAATAAAAATTAAAAGCATTACTGCTAGATGATTTATTTTGGAATAATTGAAATGGCAGAATTATGACCATAGTGATTGGTCTAGTGGTTTTCAACCAGTATTTTAATTTTTAATAAGCATTCATATTCATAAAATGCATTTTATACAAAAAACAACTTAAGAGTCTAGCTAGTGTGGACTTTTGACTACCGGTAATCTTAAAAAAAAATTCTTCACATCAACTATTGATTTTGTTATACTGGTCTAATATTTGATCCTCAAATAAATATTTTGTGGGATTAGTACTGTTGATGACACCCCAAGTTCCTGAAAACTCTACATGTAAATCTAAAAGATTAGTAATGTTAGGCTATTTGTACGTCACAAACTTCTGATATCTTGCAAATATGATTCAGATTCAAACACAGTTCTGCCAACAACACAACTTAAAGACTTGCGTGGTTCACCGGGCACTATTCACTTGGTTATTAATTCCACAGTCAGCATAAAGTGAAAGTAAGCATTTAATACTTTTTAAGATCCTTATTATAGCGAGCTTGGAGTCAAGTCCAATCAACAGACAACACATGCTACTCAAGGAACTGGGGGACATATAAACATTCAAAACGAAACCATTTTAAAAGAACCGAATTGATATGCGAATCACGTTCCATTACACCAAAGACGGATGCATGCCTGTTCCATGTGGTTGGGTTATTAAAAGGTCAGCAGCGTCGACATGCTGCCAAACCACACTCCGACTCAACTTACAAAAATATACAAAAATAAGTTACCTGGACCATTTTCGCCAATCTCAGACTTTCTTTGCTGATACTTCCCTTGCAAAATTTACAAGAAGCTCGACTGCTTTTGGCGTATTCTGCCTTGAACGGATAGTCATGGTGTTCGTCAGCCATGATAACGATGTTTACAATACGACAGCCAACAAGTGACAGATTGCTTAGGTCTGCAAAATAGCAAAGGGAATCCCGCCAGCAAGTTCAGACAAGACCTTTTGCACACGTCACGTAGACTCGACCATTCTTCGTGCTTGTATTTTTACATGTAGTGGCCGTATGTTTCTGAGTGGGGCACATTTTATGGTGTATCAGCACCGTTGACTGTAAATGCGTGTAATATTTAGTACATGCTTATAGTTCCACATGTCAGGGAAAATGCTTCAATGCAATGAATTATCCAGAGTGTATTTAAACAATAAAAAAAGGGTTGCTCCCTTCCAAAGAAAAGGTATCTTCCGTCACTTGCGTTACGTCGTGTGACTGGAGCCCTCTGTGGCGATAATGGTCATGTTATCTGTCTTTTCACAGTAACCCAACGCACATGAAAATATTGTTATTATCAATAGTGATTGTGTTACTGTAATTTGTAAACAGACATACTTTTGATTTTTTGAGAGTACCAGTTCCGGTCAACAACAGGCGTGAACGACTTGGGGATTGAAACTTAATTTGTTTCTAATATAGTCACTAATTTGCAAAATACAAAATGTATTGTAATTTAATTTACTGATATTTTCCAATTATGTTCAATGGAATGTACATATACACACTGTGACAGTAACACACCCAGCATTAGTTACGGAATTGAATTGGGTTTAAATTATGCCGCTCTAGTTTATTCATAATTCCGATAAAATTACACATCCAACCCAAAAAGCGCCCACTACGTCATTCGCTTGCGTCATCTCATTAACTGCCGTTGGGGGAGCATACATGAACGTGTTTTTCCATCACGGTTCTGTACGTTATAAAACAGTTACTTTATCGTAGGTGATAAGTATGTCGTGTGACGTCATGGAGCGTTTATTTTTCACCTTGGTATTTTTGTGTGATGATTTGCTGATGATAACAAAATCTGCTGTTAACTATTAATTAAATTTACCGTATGTCCTTGGATAGCGCGGTTATTAATCACTCGGGAGAACACGTCAAGTTCAATACGGATCGAATCACCCCTAGATCCACCTGCCATAGATCCATCGTATCAATATCCGAACACGAAATCGTCTCCGCAGTCCGTAATGATGTAACTGCGTTATTTTGCATTACCGCGTCTTTTGCCGTATTCGTATCCGCATTCGTGCTATGAGTTGTCTCCTTAGATGGATTATCTATGTATTTATTTATTTACTTCCTAGTATGGGTGAAAGTTAGAAAAAATAACTCAACCTCTTTCTGTATCTTAAAACTTGTGGGAAATTACCTGTTTGTTGTTCTGAACAAAGTTTTTGAAGTCTATCGCAATAATTTGAAGTGAACCGGAAGGTGCTCCCACAGTTAAGGTGTGTGGTATACGCCGATGTTTTCACGATCAAGCCGATCTTTTTGACCGCCAATTTTAAGTTTTTCGGCCATTTTAGAAAAAAATATTGGCGAAAAACGCACCCAATCAGTTCAAGATCTATTCAGAAATACTTATTCATTTCTAACGATATATTAAAGTTTAAAATCGCTCGTTATTCAGAATAATCTGCTTATGGTCAGAGAAACCTAGAAGTCATACTTACTATCTAACGTATACAGTCTCACATTGGCATTATTTGATCACAGCAGTGGTGGAATAGATGAAATGAAATACTGTGAACGAAACATAACGCAACACCTAGTATCGCAATATAACTCACTGTTTTGCGAACAAAGTAGCAAAATTGATATCAGTTTACCATAACAAACTGTGACATTTGAACTATCAATATTGCAATTTTGTTTGAAAAGTTGGCTATATTGTTATAGTGCTGATTGCGTTGTTTTATAGTACTTTGTTGACGGATTGAACACTATTGACGCTTAGTCGCGGATGGTTCACTCAGTGTAAAGGATTATTGATACCCAACTGTATTTACACCGTGCCCCCACCCATTTGATTTCTAGTACGCGCTGTATCGAAACGTGATCTTTACAATCTTTCAGATTGAGAAAATAAACAATTCCTGAAATATATGCTTTGAAAGACCCCAATCTGACCAGAATAAGATGCCAGTTTGGGCTTTCTTTTTTTTATTGTTTTTTTTTTTCTAAATATGTAGTGTATTTATTTATTTTTTTAAAAATATGTTTATATTAATATATTATTATATATTTGTTGGCAGGCTTTTAAAAGTTGTGGTTATCGCCAAAGCCCACATGAGGCATAGCAATAATCAAAATAATACAAAAAAGAAGATGGACGTAATAATATTATAAAATATATATATATATATATATATATATATATATATATATATATATAT